CGGAAGCCTAGTTCCGGAAGCCTAGTTGCGGAAGCCTAGTTGCGGAACCCCAGTTGCGGAATTCCAGTTGCGGAAGCCTAGTTGCGGAAGCCTAGTTCCGGAAGCTCGGAACAAATATTTGCGGAATCCTGTGCAGCTGCGCAGTTGCGGAATTGGACTCTATCCGTCCTAGCAACCTGGCGGTTGGCGGACAGTGCCCATCAAAAGGGAGCATTACATACGTGTAAGATCCTGTAAGTAGAGGGCGAGCAGCTCTTTTTTCAACTAATGAAAACCACCTGCTCCAAACGAACTTTGCCCCTTCACTCCCCTCAACTCTTCTCTCATGGTCCCTCATCCATGTGGTCCCAGAATCCTCCGGCACCAGGATGCTTCCCGTGGAGCTTCTTTTCAACTTGCCCGGCTGCGGCTTCAACTCTTCCAGTTCTCCGCTGGGGCTTGGCACAACGCGCTTAGTGCGGTAGACTTTCAGCAAGCCCATAGCCGCAGCCCATCAGCGCAAATGAACGGTGACACTGAGCTGAAGCCTTGGTCTTGCAATGGGCCAACTACTATGCAAAAATGCACTGGTGCCTTTGGCACAGTCTGAGGGGATTGGTTGTTGGCGTGGTCAGGTGTGCAAATCCATGTAGTCAGTGTGCTAGCACATCTGCGTGCAAATGCTCGTGATGGCCTATCACGCCGCAATCATGCCCAACCAACGATTCTGTCATGTACTCTTCCATGTGTGTTGCATCATTCCTACAACTTGTCGGGCTTGATCCGTGAAAAAAGGGAATGGCCATGACGAATGGCAGCAACAACCTCTCAAGAAAAGAAGGATTGGAGGGATATGATTTCAATCATTAATGTCCAAGGGGTCCAACTCATATCGCCTTTTGCAGGCTGTATTACACGTTAACTCATCCTGGCGTGCGCGCTGTCCTGCAGCACCAAGGAAGGCTAGTGGCTTGGTGGTCTCCTGAGGAGACATGTTCAGCTATAAAAGGCTATAAGCACCCACAAGGGTTTTCTGCAACTGAGAGGCTTTCTGATACTGTATATAAACTGACAAATTCTCAGGTGAAGCAGGAAGGAGATGGCCACCCAAGCTGCCAAGAAACATCAGGAAGTAGCCATGCTGTTAATTCAATTCAGCTGATTGAATCTGAGCTCCCCAACGTACCAAATCGGTTCTGCCTGCGCAGTGAGGGTTTCCGCTTCACTCTTTGCGTTGCAATTCGCTCGCAACCGAGCTGAGTTGCAGTTGCAGTAACACTTGCTCAACTTAACTGATGCGCATTCCAAGACCAGGTGCACAACGTGTCCTACTCTACTGGACTGAATTGCTTCAGGGAAGGCTGCGATTGTACAGTAACTTAAAGCTTACAGTAAACTAACCCAGTTGATACTACAGTATATGATATCCAGGCCAATCAGTACTAATCCTGAAGCTTTGGAACGGCACCTGCAGCTGGTGCCTCGGGTGTGCAAACACAAGGTCAGTGACGGGAGGGGTCCTAACTGCAATCAGTTTATTCGCAATTGCAAGCCCCAACGTCCATCTGCTTCGTGGTTTCCGTGTTTTGTGGCCATAACGCAGTGCTATGCTCGTTGAAAACCCAAAAATGCCTTTACAAAGCAGTGTGGCATGGTGAGCTGACTCCCTTGTAGTCTTTGCGTCTTTGGCTTTGGAATTGTCTGCCAGTCTGCGGACTTTTCAGGACCGCGCGATGTCGTTTGCATTTGCGGCTGCAATGGCCGGCAAGTGAAAACCTGCATAGGCTAGGCACAGATTGTCTTCATGTCAACTTGCTTGCGAGAACTGTCGAGGTACACTGAGGCATAATCCCGCTTTTCCTTGATAAAGGGTCCCCTCATCGCAAGTCGTTGGCATACTGAGACACAACCATGGTGATGAAGAGCCCCTAGTAGCTTCTTGCTCCTAGTAGTAAGGCCAGGAGCCCCTAGTAGCGTCCTTGCTCCTAGTAGCGATGCCAGGAGCCCCTAGTAGCTTCTTGCTCCTAGTAGCCATGGTGATGAAGCACATCGAAACGGTGCCCTAGGCTGGCCTCTGGCACCAGCTGACCATCCTGGCTAGCGAGGCTTCGTAGAGAGTGCTGCCTTTCTGCTGTTCAATAATTCAATATTCACGTGTCTTGTGTGGTGACTTGGGTAGAGTATATAGATTGACCGGAGGTAAAACTGTGTCATTTCAATAAAGCGCCCTTCAATTCCCTTGGATTTGGCAACCTTGTATGTTTTGGGGAAACTCTGCAGCACTTTGCCACATAGAAAGTTTATCATTTGATTTGTCAGCCAAATATTCATCACTCATTGCCAAACCATGCCTGGCAAATGGGATCCTCCGCCGGCTCAAAGCCATGCGCACAAAAGGCGCCCTCAGTAGGACACTGCCAACATGAGAGCCCGGGCGTTGCTCAGATTGCTGGGGTCAGTAAACTTCTTGTCACCAAAGAAATCTCTTCACCTGATGATTACTCTTGCAGGGTCTTGTGTTTAGAGAATTTCAGGACATTGTGCACTGCTAGGAGCAAGGACGCTACTAGGGGCTCCTGACCTTACTACTAGGAGCAAGAACGCTAAGAAGAACACTGCCCTAAGAATCTCCCACGAATCGCAAACCCGCTCAATCCTGGCCCCGTGCACAGCGGGCCCCATGAGGGATCGATGACCTGACCCACACAAAAACGGGCAAGCTAAGGAGAGGTGGCATGGTGTCAAAGATGCTAAGCTGCTAATAGGTTGGAGCCATCACTAGTAGCTTGGAGGCCATCGCTATTGGGCTGAAGGCCATCGCTAATAGGTTGAAGCCATCACTGGTAGCTTGGAGGCCATCGCTATTGGGTTGGAGGCCATCGCTAATAGGTTGAAGCC